TTAATTACTAAAATTTGAAAATATTATTTACCTCTACAGCACTAATCGATTGGATGCATCTTGTATATTTTTTAATACATATATATATGTATATATTTATATATATTTTAAGTGTATATATAATTAATGCAATTTTTATTGTAATTTTTGTTTTAGAAATTTAAAAATCTTTAATTTTCTATTTTTTCTTTTTTGGTTTTTGTTTTTTATTATTTATTTTTTATTTTTAAACAAAGCGAACACATGCTTTAATGTTTATTACTTTTTCGTTTTTGTTTGTCAAATTAAAATTTTTCATTTTTATATATCAGCTTATCATGGTTATATATTTATATATACTTATAAATATTTTGTTTTTTTTTTCTGGTATTATTATAATGTATAAATTTATGAATGTACAAAAATATCTAAATGTGTTTTAAGTAGTTTTTGCTTGTGTAATTGTTATTTAATAATTTTTATTTTAATAATTTTCATATTATAATTTTATATATAATATTATAATATAATATTGCAAATCACAAAATTTTTATTACAACTACTTAAATGGTAATTACTAGGTTCTAAGTATAAATATATATTTTAAAAATTGGTTAAGTTTTTTAATCCTTTTTGTTCAATAAATATGCTTTTGTTGATTTTTGATGTATATAAACGTATCTTTCTAATTTTAATATTAAATCGTTGTATAATTAAGTTCGAATTGTTCTCAATAAAATTTTAATATCTCTTATATATATACATACATATGTAAAAGTGTGATTTGAAGTTTTCATTTATATTTATATATATTTATATATATATATATATGAATATATATATGTACATATGTATATCGAACTACAAAATTAAAATGCTCTAAAATTCAAATTATCTTATATTTGTGTATTTAAAAATTTATAAAGCATTTTGAGTATAAAAATTTAAATAAAAAAAAAACTTTTTTTTGATTATTTTGTATAATAATTTAAAGTAATTTTTGTATAGAGTTAATACAGCTATAACGCCTGTCTTACGAGATATAACTAAAGTTGGAAAATTGAGAAAAATAAATTTTTGCATACCTTAAGTCCCTTATGTCATGCTTGGATATGAAGGCTTCATTTGTAAGGATGTTTGTCAGCAAATTATTTTTCAGGCAGTAATTAAGTAAAAATATATTTTATATTATTTAATTAAAGTTTTAAACTTATATCAAAATAAAAGTTGTGACGACTCTAAGGAGAAATAAGAAGTAATAATCACAACACTTTCTGTAACTATCCGATAAGATTTGTGAAAATATTCATTCAAAATATTACAATTATTTATGAAAATAAACGAAAAAAGTTATAATACTTTCTTAAGACTGTAAAATATCAGGATTCTTTTCATTTAGAATAACTCGAGAGAATTAAACACTATGATCACACTATGATTGAATACAGAACCTTTGATCATAACTGAAGTAACTTTTTTTATTATTTTTTTTATAGTTGTCAAAAAAAAAATTGAAATACTAAGAGTGAACATCATCAATCACAACTTTCACGATAGGTTGGGTTAGGTTAGATCGGAGAGTGACATTCTTGTACACTTAAAAGCTTACTTCAATACAAATAAAAGGCTTGCTGCTATACCACGGATAAGTTTCATGATAATGCATCAATCCATAACATATTTATATTACAGATCATTTCACAAATGCTAATAATTAATTTTGTCTTTTATATATTGGATTGTAGCTAACTTTAAGCAATTAATCACCAATTTTTTAGTTTAAGTGAAAAAGGTTAAAATGGCGTTTTATACTATTAGAATAATTTAAATATAATTCTTATTCACTTTGTTTTTCATGTGTCGGCACAGAGTTGTATAGACAATAAATACTATATGTGGCACCTTACTATAGCTGCTGCCATTGACATATAACATTACGAATTTAAATATAATTAAATAAAATATGAAATCACAAAAAATAAAGCAATAATTTATAATCATTTATAGTCGATATTATTAACACTAAGCTGAAATTACAAGACTCTGTTCAACAATAAAGTGCTTTCTAGGCACTTTATAGTTTCACTATAGAATGATGCCTCAATACTTAGCTCTGCAATTTGATATTTTTGCTAATATATTGTACAAATTTTTGGTGAGTTGCTAATTAGTTCTTAATTGGAAATTATCATTCTAAATTATTAAATATTATACATATTTAATAAAATATATAAAACATTTTATTTGATATTTCTTTTTCCATTTAAAAATAGTGACCAACATCTATCATATCCAACCTCTGAAAAAACTCTGTTTAAAAGCAAAAAAAAACCGGTAGTTCCATCTATAACTATTTTTTAGAAAATATAAAATCAACTTAGTAAAGACTACCTTAATCAAATCTCGTTGATATATAATCAATAACAATAAGTTATGGCGTTTTGTCGATTTCTGCAGGTCGTTAAGCTTGAATAATACATATAATAAAAATTTACTAAAATACTTTGTAAATATTATTTTTAAATATAACAAAAAACCAATAAAATATTTTTTAATAATTATAACTAATATATATTAAATTTCTCTTTCAAATTCGAATAAAATTTTTTTAACCAAATATATATATATATATTAAATTAATTGACATATTATAATTTTGTGTTTCAAAATATATAAAATTTTTAAATACATATATATATATATTTTATTTAATATATAATTGATTTTTAATTTTGTATTCATATTTACTGAATTTTTGTATCGAAATTTTTAGTCTAAACTTTTTTGAGATTAAATTTTATTTGTTTTTGCTTTGCATTGCTTTCAGTTTCGTTAGTAATAATTTTGCTTTAAATTCACTTAAAAATATTTATATATACATATATATGTAAGTATATATATATCAATAATTATTTTTTAAATTATACATAAATGACTAGCAACTTAATTAGAATAATTTTCAAAATTCATCATATTTTTTTTCATAAATTCATATATTTATAATAAAATAAAATAGTTTTATGCTAATAAAATTATAATATGAAAAATGTTTTACAAATAAATATAAAAATTTTTTAAAAAATATAAAATATATATAACACAAAACATAACAAAAGATACATGTTAATATATATAAATAACAGTAACAGCATATATATATATATGGTTATATATAATAAATTGTTTAATAATTTATTTATATTTATAATAATTTAATATCATGGTATTGCTGGTGCAGTCAATGGAATTCAAAGAAACAGGGAATTATAAATATGTTATTATATATTCAATTTATTTTTTAATTCATTTTGAAACATAATCAATACATTTTATATTTTATCGTAATTAATTATAAGTAAGACGAATCACAATTTATATAAAATTAATATTTTATTTAAGATTATACAGATATCAGTAAATTAATAATATAATAATTTATTTGTTTTAAAAAAATTAGTATATTTATAAACATTAACCACTTGTTATTAATTCTATAAAAACTGATCGATGTATAATTCCCGAATAAATGCTCAAATAAACGGAGAGAAAAACTGTATATAATTAAGTTTCAAAATTTTAACTATATATGTTATAATCATAAGTGGAGTAAAGGGACAGTAGTTGTAAAATTTTTTAAGTATATTTCCATCCGCAATATTAAAAATATAAATTTGCAAACATCATTATTTTTTCACAAGAAACTCAGTTAAAATAAAAAAAGTCTTTCTAATATTATTAATAATATATAGTTTTGTTAGGGTTGCTTATACATATATGCCATTTATATTATTTATATTAAAAAATAAAAGAATATCCACAAATAAAATAACACTTTTACTTATAATAATAACATAAATAAATAAATATAAGTTATAATACAAATAAATAATTAATTTTAGTACAAAAGAAAAATATTTAATATTTTCTTAGAGTATAGAATTAGTATTTAATCTTTAAATATAAAATAAAATTTATTTTAATAAGGAAATAAATTTATTCTCATTGCAATTCCCTAAGAAATAATTCTTAATATATATATGAATATATTATTTTTGAAAATAATTTTTAATATATAAATATTTAAATAAATTTAACTTAAATTTAATGACTAGAATATTATTATAATATTATTATAATAAACGGATAAATAAATAATTAAATTATTTTTAATAATATTGCTTTTAGTACAAATTGAATAAGAGTTCTTCAAATATATATTTTTTATAGTAAAAATAAGTTTTAAAATATTTAAATATATGCATATAATTAATTTATTTCATTCATGTATGTATGTCTGCCTGACTGACCTATATACATATATAAGTAATTTTATAATAATTTTGTTTTCGGTTTGTATGTAAGTATTTAAATTTTAAGTATTGTCATTGTGATATGTTTTTAAATGTATCTTTAGTAATTGAATTGTTATTTGAGTATTTAAGGAGAAAGAGAAATATTCAATTAAAAGTATTTTATCTTAATAACTTATGCAAATGTTATTTTAACTACAAGTATTTTTAATTAGAAATATCAGAACTTCGCATACCTTTTTTCGTTATATCAACTACAATAAAATTAGATTTTATGGATGAAAAATTTTGAATATATCATCCGTAGAACTTTGGTTTTAGGACTAATTTAGGTTCTCATTTGGAGTTTGTGTTAAAGGTAGGTATCTTTAAACGGTTGTCCGTGTACTGAACATGTATGTCTGTCTGTAATTATTATTTTGTATTAAATTTTTTTTATATGTAAATATGCTACAATAAAAATATTTTTCAAGTTATTTTTTTATATTATATTTTAATACAAAGATAACGATTTTTTCTCATAAAAATTTAACATATAATTTTGTATATAGAATTTCTACTTATGTTCCATAATATTCGTTGCATGGGATTTTTACTTTTAGTTGGTTTGTTTTGTTTGCGCTTCTTGTTCTCTATTTTTAAAATAATTAAATTTATTTTGTATATATAATAATTCTTTTTCTTTTTGCTTTTGTTTTTGTTTTTTTTTTTTGGTTTTTATTTTGCCTAAATATATATGATCTAATAAAAAATCGTAATATGAATATTAACTGGTACTGTAATTCACTCGTACTTTTCTAAAATGCATCTTCAGCTTTTCAGAGATTTTCGATTTTCGATTTCCGATTTTCAATATTATTTTATCTCATATCTAATTATTTCATTTATCTACTATATTTTTCAATATATTTCCATTGTCTTTTATATAAATTTTCGGTTCTTAACTTTTTATCCCTTCTATTTATTATTTTTGTCATCTCTCTTCTCTTTGAAGTTTTAATAATAAGTTTTGTTAATATTTGATTGGTTCGTCCATGCTGTGTTATCTTTCATTTTATTTTCATATGATCTATTTTGGTTTTTACTTTCTTCTATTTCTATATATTCGTTTCTATTTTGTTTACTTGTTCATCTTTTGAGTATTTTTATTAGTTTTTCTTAACTTCCATTTGACTTGCTTATTTTCTTGCATTTGTTTCTTTATGTTTTCCATTTCTTCAATAGTACATATATTCAAGTATCTCAAGAAATTTGTTTTCTCACAATAATTATTATTTTCTTTATCTTCTTCTTCATTTTTTTTACCTGCAAAATGCAAATTATTAAGTAATTAATTTCTATGTACAACTATTTTCTGTAAAATAAACTTTTGCTTTTAGCTACTTTTCACTAACAAACACTTGAAAGTGTTCCCTATTCAATATTAATATTATTTTATACATTATTATTATCTTTCTTCTTGTTTTCTAACCCTACACATTTGCCTAGCCAGCTATCTATCTCTGTCACTTCTTACACCTTCATACATAATTACTGAAATACTTTTCATCTAAGCTACAATAATATCATCATCGTTTTCGTCACTACTCTGACCTGAATCAATGCTCTCCCCAAAATTTTCAAGTCCACTGCGAAGCACATTCGCATTTATGACGCCGTCTTTCAGGCACGCCGATTCCAGGTGTTTATTTAAATAGGATTTGAGGGCGAAGGTCTTCTGACAACGGTTGCATTTGAAGTTCTTGTCACCCGAGTGCGTCTGCATGTGTGCGCGTAAGTTGGAGCGATCAGCGAATGCCTTACCGCAATGTGCGCAGGCGTAAGGCTTTTCACCGGTGTGAGAACGCAGATGACCTTGTAATAGCCAAGGGCGAGAGAAGAGTTTACCACATATGTCACAGCTATGCGAAAGTTTATGTGTCAATAGGTGCATTGCGAGTGCTGGCATCGAAACGTAAGCCTTGCCGCATGTATTGCATTTCTTAGCTGATTGCGAATCCAGTGAGCGATGAGTTTGCTTGTGACGCGACAAATTGCTGGACGTAGCGTACTGCTTACCGCACTCTGAACACTTATAACAACCTCGTTTCTTTTTATATGTATCGGAACGGCCGTCGGTTTCTTTGGTGCCTTTCGAAGCTTTTGTGCGTCCGTCTAATATATTAAGGCCTAGCTTAACAGAGTCAATAGAGTTGTTGCGCTTTAATTTAATACCTTCACCTTGCCACAGTTGTGGTGACTGTTGGCTTGATTGACCTGAATCTGAGGATGACGACAGGTCAATGTCTAAGTCTGAGGAATGGTCTGAGTTAGGTGGTGTCAATGGTGAACAATTGCTGGAATTCTCTGTGCCAACTTGACTATCATAATTGCTACTAATGTAGCGTATTTTAGAAGTACCATGCTGCAGATGCTTGCTGTCATATATAGTGTTATTATGGTTCTTGACATGCGCATTTGGATAATATGTTTGTGTTTGTTGGTTGGAAGCACTGGATATTTCTTGCATAACAGTTGAGTGATGAGTTGTTTTGATTGACGCTTCCTGGTGCATCAAGGTGACGGTACAAGGGGGCGTCAGTGGTGGCAGACTCTGTGACAAAGAAAGAAGATCATGGGCGGCTTCAGTTTCTTCGACGCTGTGTTCGCGATAAAGTATAGACATGTCCTGTTGTTCTTGTTTAATTGTGCATACTGTGGGTAAAGTATTAAATTTCTTATTATTGCTGTTATTATTATTTTTATTATTTCGACCAACACCATTAGCTGGTGGAGCATAAAAGATGACTTTACTGTCTTCATTTGGCAAACGACCATTCATAAGAGGCTTCAAGCGTAAATTGCCATAACTTACAGGAGCACTAGAGTTTGTAGAAAAATATTCTGTTTGCCAATCTTCTGAAACGAAATATTTTAATAGTGTTAATAAATAATGGAAAAGTTTGTATATTTAAAGGAATATATGCTAATACTTAAATAACTGTAAAAATTCGGTATAAGTAAAAAATTGAGTAGATTATATTATGGAAGTGAAATATTGGAATTACTTTTGCTTGATATTTAAATAGAAGTTATATAGTATAAATATTAGATATATGTGTGTACAATGATGTAAAATAAAAAGAAGTAAAATCGTTGCTTATACTCCAGACTAAAAAAGCATCTTAACAGGTATAAAGGCCAAAGCGATTTGCACATAGTCATCGTCGAAAAGAACAGGCATGACCCGATTAGGTAAATTAACTTGACTATTGATAGAATTGGTAGAATTGGTAGATATGCGTTGCAGGAAATACTACATATTGTAATTATATTGTAATATTGTAATAAATATATTGTAATAAAAGTTATTTTATTTTATTTGAAGCGCCTGGATATTTTTCTATATATGATCGTGTTCGTACTATTAGTTATTTAAGGTTTGTCGATAGCAAACCTTGCCAAGAATAATGCGTTAAGCAGAAGTGCTATGAGCTTTACTGAGGTAATAACCCGATTCCGCGAATTTAAATTTAGAGACTTTAATGAGACTTCAACACTATTGTGAGAATCGAGGCTGGTGCTTAACTGAAAAGAGTGTTTCATGTCAAATTTGGGTAAGTAGAAATATGAGAAGTGCATGTAGCTAATGGAGTGATTAGTTAAGAGATTGCAGATACTCAAAGCAGAGTTGATTGGAGAGAAGTTCTACGTCAAATACACAACTAACATTAAGTTTTAAGGTCCACAGGAATAAATAAGTTTGTTCAGTATTTAACCTCATTTAAAAGAAGTTTAGATGTTGTGAAATTAATTTCAATATGCATTATTATCCACTGGTTTAGAATATTATAAGTATTTTTAATATTTTATATATATGATATATACTTGCATGAATTCGATATAACTTTTTTTGACAAATTCATATAACATATTGTATATTAGAATAAATTGAATTGCAAACTTTCCTTAAAAATATATTTGTATATTTATAAAATGCTGACAATTTTGTTGGTTTGAGTTTAACTTTTCATTAGAATTTGGTTTATCGCAACTAATTTGTATTCAAGAAGCTTCTCATCACCAAAATAAATTCGTTCATTGCAATTTAAATATTTTTGCTAATTATAGGAGGGCACACACAGATACCCGAATAAATATTTGGATATTCATGTGTGTTTGTCGACTGCCATATAAATTTAACAACATCTGCTGCAACAGGATTCATTTATTTTACCTAACTAATTTCAATACAATTGCGTAATTGCACACAAAAAGTTTTCCCTCCCAAGCTGCGATGCTGCGGGCAAACTAAACGATTTGAGTGACGCAATGTTGCCATGCAGTGATGTTAAATCGCGTAATGAATAAACTAAATAGATACGTGTAGCATATATGAAGTGCGCTACACAGATACAGAGATACACAGATACATAGATACACAGATACATAGATACGAATGTACTAGCACTTGCAGACGCATACATGGACAGATATGTGAACAGAAAGACAAGCCACAGTTGCACTACGAAAGCGGAGCAAATAAAAGGAGCGCATAAAAATTGTATTCTGGATGAAAAAAAGTTGGAACACTAATTGCCATCACAAACTCACAACCCTTTTTTGTAAGCAAATGAATATGATGAGTGGGTAACGAAATGTTTTTGGGGTTTTGAAATAATTTCAAATTTGGCACACGTAGCATCCTGTTGCTTTTAACAGTAACGAGCATTCAATTATCTGAATATGCAACGTATATAACATCAATAGCAGCAATAACTAAAATACCTACAACGGCCGCCATCAATGTATTCTAGAATAAAATCATTTCCACATTTCCACAAATATTGTGTGGAACTGTACCTTTCCAATTGACAATGATTATTTAAATATGAGGTTATTTACGGCCGGATATTCGCATTTGAGCCAAAAGTATAGCGATCAGCGTCTACCGCACGTTTGCAGCCAGCAAATTGAAGTCAAACTGATTTAAATTTACGTGTACAATCAACTTAAATCCAACAGCAGCAATAACAGTAATAGTAACAGTAACAGTAACAGTACTTGCAGTATGGAAAAACGTATAGACTGTCAAATGGAAGGACTTAAATAGAGACAGACAGACAGACAGACATCGTGCATAAATAGTACGTGCGCGCAATAATTCATTAACAACTGCAACAGTAATAACAGCAATAGAAGCAAAAATAGCAGCAGTAGTTAGCGTACCAACAACGATACCAATGAGACAGCACCATCAACATCAACAGCAACATCAACATCAACATCAACATCGGCATAGAAATCTGCATCAGCAACATCATCAATGATAACGGCACTAAATCATCGTATGCAAACAACGTGGCAGCAAAGCAATAGCAAGGACAGCTTTACATCTCACAGATACGTCCAACGATAACCAATTTCATTTCAAGCACTTACACACTCGCAAGCCCACATACGAGTATATGCTAATCCACCAATACAGTGGCAGTTACTCGGGCAGATACTGTGGCAGATACTGTGACTGTTGTAGAGCGTATCTTGCAGTGCTGGGAACTGCAACGAAAATCACAATTTCACAATTCATAATAAAAATTCGTAGCACATAAATTCGCGTATGAAGCGAAGGCGAGCTTTGAATTTTCCATAGCAAAAAACCGAAATCATAAAACCGTGAAAATAGATTTCACATTCAAATTAATCGATGCTCTTTATCCTGTTTGTGAATTTTAAATGAGTTCGATTTGCTCTGTGCAACATGCGAAATGCCACAGACCAATGCTGACTTTTCCATAGATGCATGAGCACATTTGCAAACGCCTCCTCCTCCCATTCCGCCTCCGAAGTCACTAAGCAACGAAATTGCCACATTTTATGAAAATTTTATTTACTTTGTATTCATGCGACATTTTTAGGCTTTTTTGTTGAATTATTTTTTGCGAAATTTAATGTTTTTTTTCCGAATTTGCGTAGGCAATTTTAACGTCACTCATACGACGTGGGCAACGTGTTTTCCTTAATCAAATTATTCGAAGCGATCTTTGCAGTTTAATTTTGTTGGCTTTTAATTATTTAAAAGGGATTAAGAGCGAGCAATTATGGCCACATTTGTTTGCCTTTTATAGGCTGATGTCTGCAATCAAATTACTCAGATTCAATATTCAAATAATTCAATTTTCTTCAACTGCAAACGTTTCTCCTTTGACTTTATTGTCTTTATTTTCTTCAAGATTACTTGCCATTATATATTCCTTTTCATTTTCAATATAAATCGTGTTTTGTTAGGGAGCTTACTTGTTCTTTTTAGAATCCTGTGAAGTCTTTTTAGACTCTGACTTAAGTTTTCTAATCAAATTTCAACTTTTTACGAGCTTATAGTTAGCATACTATATCAACTTTTAAGGACATTGTCTAAAATGTGACTCAAGGACTAAGTGCGATCACGCAAAGTGTCTGAGTCTTAGATTTTATAGTTAAACGGACCAACAAAAGTCGATTCAAATTATTTATTTTCAAACATAAGAGTTTTACATTTATTTACGTATTAAATATAGTTTTTTATTTGTAGGATTTACAATTTTTGCAGTCACTTTGGCATTAGTTTCAATTGATTAAAATATTGAATATGATTGTTATTGTTGTGAAGTTCTTTGTGCAGATTTGCTTGCCAAATTACTGCTATTAGTGATCAGAAACAAAGTTTTGGTCCTTTATTTCTACAATACCTCCTATAAAATTTATTCCCAAACCCTCTGCTGAATAATCCATTTATTGCAATCGATATTAAGCAGGATTAATCATAGATTGATTGTTAATAAGTAAGGAAAATTTATTGATATATATGGTCCTTGAATTGTAAGTAAGGAATTAATGAATGAATGACATTATTTTTTATAATAAAACTAACTTAAGTACTTGGTCCCATGAATTTGTTAACGATAAAAGTTTTCCTCGTAGTATCTAGCTCGTTGCTCCTTCAGAAAGGACTGGCTTAACCAGTTACTCTCGTTTGCTGACCTTTGCAATTTATTCGGTCAAACAATATGATTTATTACGCTTTGTTAAAGCTGGTGTTAAAGAAATATGGTTTCACAAACATTGCCTTAAAAAGAATTTATAATGAGATAAATCTTTATTTTGGAGCATTCAACACAGTCTACGATAACTGGAAAATCAAGAACCATATTTCCATATTGTCTGTATTGTTTACATGCAGTCTTGATCCATGAAAGGAAAGTTCAAAAGATTTTATAGTTAACATCCATTGAGATTTCTGTTTATTTTACACTGACCAAGTTGATCCCGACAAGTCTAAGCTTTTCAGTTATACTCAAATTATGTGTGTTTAACAAAAGCTCCATTTGGTGATACATAAAATGTATCTGCAGTTTTTTTAATCACTTTTTAACAATAATTTTCTTTAAATTTTTAAAATCAATTTTACTTATGACCTGCCATGTTTCAGGTAGCTGCATAATTTCATCGGTATAAAACTTTCGATGTAAAACTTGTCCAAGTAATTTTCAGCGGCTCTTTCGCCAGCCAAGGTCCATGCTATATTATGGATACATCGGAACTATTCAACCAAGTTGTTTCCTTGAGGCGAACGAGATGTGAGCAGTAGAGAACCAAATTAACCATTACACTAGGGTTGCATATTAATTTACCTTGGAATCCTACCATACTCCAATCATAACATTGTCTGCCCTCAATCCAGACCTTGAAGCCGTTTGTGGATAGTCTCCGACATTTGATTATAATCGCTTGCGTTGGGTATATTTTTCTTTAATCCATTTTTCTTCAACTATAATGTTTCGATTTCTTCCTAGTTCAGAATTGTTTGGCTGATAGTAATTCGATCAATCAAATTTTTTTGCGTTAGATTAAGTGGTATTTAAGAGTGGTATCGATATTTA